TTTATTGTGTAGTGGAAATAATTTGTACTTCTAGTTTTATACTCACAAAGATGTGAGTTCCTGACCGGAATATTTTTATGCTTAACAGCAAAAATTGCAAAGGCGTGAATGTATAAGCATGGTAGTAAGGTCAGGATTCTTAATTTTTTAAAAAGCTAGGCTCAAAAAATAACATGAATAATTCTTTTGTGGATTGTACTGCCACAAAAAATCAGTCCTTGATTGAGGGTTGGCTGGAAACAGCTCGAATAAACCACTCTGATTTCATTCGCACTTGGCGGTTGCATAAACATTCGACGCAACAACAAAACTAAGTTGTCTTAGTTTAGGTTGCAGTTGAAAAGATATTTTCCTCACACATTAACGTGCTGTTAAGGACAACTCACAACAATTTGGGAGATTGGGTCCAATGGAGACTCTTGCCATGTACCAATATGATTCGGTTTACTTTATGTTAAGAGCAATACCATACTTCGAAATCCAAACCACGTCTTTATACATTGAGTGCGTAATTTCGAGCCATAACTCATCGGAAAAACTTCCTGCAACGATTAAGGAGGCATCGTCCCCAAACAAGTAAAAATGTACAACCTTAGCCCCTCTATGAAGGCATTAACCTACATATATTAAAAATAGGAGAAGGCCAAGTATGAAATCTGTGATACTCCGTACTTGACTGGGATCTCAGGAGTCTCCCCACAGAATTTTGTTTTCTGGCGGCAACCCTGCAGAAGAGGCAAAATGTTCATTAGCAATACACATAATTCTAATATTTTCCTCTTGAGAAGTAAACGGTAATGGTCAATCAAGCCGAATGCTTTGAAGAGGTCCGATTGTATGCCCGCTACTTTGATGTTATTTGATTTTGATTCGACTGTGCAATCAATTATTCTACTACGAGCATCTTCTTTTGAAAGTGATTTTCCAAGCCCGAATTTATTCTCATATACAAATCCGATTTTTTGGATAAATTTAGACAATCTATTGTAGAGTACCTTTTCGATGGCCTTGTCAAATGTCTCCTTTTTTGAAAACTGGTATCTTCCCAGTTTTTAGCTCTGCTGGGTAAATGCTTGTAGAGATGATGTAATTCACTACATTCAGAACATCAGAACATGAAGAAATATACTATAGTATTCACCGGGACCTGCGGAGGGCTTTAGGAGTTTTAATTGCATCATGAACAGTGAAGGAGGCTCAATTTTTAGGAGTTTTTAAAAAGGCGTATTAAATTTTTAACTGTATAGTTGGTATGTTTATTGTGGTAATGAATGTTTTGATATATTTATGATTTAAATAAAGTAAAAAAAAGTAATTGCTGGAAGATATGAGGATTTAACTTCAAACTACTCGTTGGGTATCGCGAATGAGGGATCAGTATCAAAAAAGTACTTTTTTCATATTATCGTAAAAAAAATCCATTAGCTGGGATTCGAACCCAGAAGCAAGGCATAGCAAATACGAGTAGGAAGCTTTATGTTCAATTGGGTAACTAACTTAAAACATAGACCATTAGAGGTAAATGCTTGTATACTTTGTTTCCAGAAACAGCTCTTGGGCTTAACTATTTATCCTTCGCCGCCAACTATACAGAATACGTACAAACGTACATGACCCAGCACATTCATAATTTACACATAAGAGCATCCCTAGCGGGACCTAGCCTACGTAGCATATTTTGTTTTCAACGGCTTCACTTTACGCGTAAATTCCCCTTCTTAACGATCTAGCATATCGAGGTCAACAGGGCCGCTATTTAGGCTGAAAGTCGCCGGTTAAAAGCTATGCCACCCATAGATGTATGGCCATAATGTTTACACACCCTCTTTAATAATCCACTCTTGTAGGCTACGACCCGTGACAGAACTCCTTTTGTCATCCGTATAAGTTTAATGCCGTCAACCGGATCGATATCGTGGAAATATTAGGCGAAGTACCTCTTCAGAAAATATCAAATGATGGATGGTAAAATTATTATAAAACATTGTTTGTCAGACTGGTATAAAGTGCTTAATTCTTATTTTGGCAACAAAGACAAATTGAGGCAAAAAAGTCTAATTAATACACTCGAAACTACCATAATGTTCTAAAGAAGGTTAACTGTTAAACTTGTGAATAATTGTAAACAATTTTGGGAAACTTATAATAATTTATATTTTAGGCTGTCCAAGCTAGGTAAAATTAAATCAAATGTCTATAAGCCACATTTCCAAAAAAAATGGTATCCTCTAAACACACGTTGTAACCTTTAACACAAAAATAGAACAATTATTCATGAAATTTAAATGCAAAAATGAATTAATGTTGAATCATTTTGTAGTTTGGTCGTTTCCTGCCATTTTGGTCCGATTTTACTTTCTGATTTGGTCTGTCAAACGCGATCGGCATCTCACCAACGGCATGTTTGCTAGTTAGTAGTTTGGTGCGAAGAGTAAAAGTTTGAACAAATATAACGACGAAACTTACAAAAAGCACTCGGACATACTTACCACAACAGACAACACACTATGGACCTATACTACAATACAAAAACTCTCATATCCCCTCCGATGAGATGTACAGCTCATGGACAAAAACAGATGAAGTGAAAGCATTGCTAAGCATGCAACGTATGGCACCCGGGGCTTCCGTGGAAGTTCAAAGGCATCCACCATCTACTCTGTTCGTGATACTAAAATCAAACCTTACAAACCATTGCTTCCAAACTGTTCAAAACACTTCTTTCTCCTACCCGATACTCCCTGGCGACCTGAGGGTAGAGTACTCGTTTCCTTCCTCTACACAATTTACACGGCTGATCTATCTACTCACCCTAACACTCTTAATTCCAAACTCTACAATCTAAAATTCTTCGATCAATAGTTGCTAACATCCTTCTGTCCAATCACATAGAGATAGAGAGGCCTTCTCTATCTAGGGAGTACGCGAGGGAGGCAGGGTGATGTATTTTGGCCTGTTAGCCCTTTGCGTGCGGCATACGACCCGATGCACAATGCGGGCCCTACCATTCGGAATGGACAAGCGGAGAGCGAGGTTGTTTCGGCCCTTAGGGGCTGGGACGCCTCTTCACCAATGCTGCGGCGGTAACACCATTCCGTCGTATGCAGAGGTGCGTCAGCTCTCATCTTGAGAATCAAAACGTCCGATAAAGCCGAGTAGGCAGGTGCGGACGCTAAAGATCCTCTTGTCTTGTTGATGATGAGTTCTCGGGAACAAAATGTCCAATCACATAATATATACCGACAAATGCCGTTCATAGCCGACCGTGCCCAATTCCGTTACTAAAATTTTTCTTCTAAATTATCCCATCACTCAGATACCTTAATCCGCGAATTGTTATTCATAACATTACCCGCCAATCCTGGTCTGACAGTGAAACGACGTTGCCTACGAGACAACTCAAGTTGCCTAAGCTCGGGAAGGGATAGTTGCCATCTGCTGGTAAACCAACCTGGCAACCATCATTTCGTGGAGGTCGTTCATGCCTTACCAACCTTTTGTATGTCCGTGCAGACGTACCTTATGTGCACGTTCACATATATACTCATTGTTTCAACATTTCTGCTTGTTGAACATTTAAAGTACAAGTCTAAATAAGTAAATGAATTTTATAAAAAAAAGCAACTAATTTTTAGGAGACATGGCTTGTAATGATCTTTACTCTCCCATTTGAAAACGAATTGGCTAATTTTTTTTTTAAATCTTGATCCATGTTAAATCCACAGAGGAAGACAACCAAAACCAAACTTTCAAAAAATTTATTATTTATTTAAAAAACAAAACAAGTATCGATTTCTGGGTGCTGCCCGCTCCCCCTCTTTAACTATTTTGTCTTAAAATGCAAAAAAACCAACAACCATCAATAATTAAAAAACAACATCTTAACAATTAATAAAAATAACTTATGCTCAGTGAAAATGATACAATGAAAGTTACAATTTGCATATAGATCATGATATTTAAAATGTTCTTTCTTATGACGTTATGCGTCGTTAAACCAATACATTTTGTTCATTTTTAATCAATTATATATTTATACGTTTATAGTACCTTTTAAATAAATAAATATGAATGTGTGTATATATAATTTTTTAAATAACAACAACAATATTATTAATATAAGATAATATAGGTTTTATTTTTTAAAATTAAATATGTATTTCTATTCGAAATGCATTATTTTCAAACGTTAAAAACAAAAGTTTACCCAATTATAAAATAAAAAACTTACCAAATCAAACATAATTGCGATTGACTCTACTTTTTACTACAATAAACGCTAGGATAATTTCTGTCGTGATGAAAAGTCGATCTCCACGGGCCGGAATTTCAAAGTCGTCGGTGTCACGTGCGGTCGAATGTTATTGTGTAAAACAATCGGATCTTTTCAGTTCACCGGCCCTGGCCAATTTCCTGTTCGTTTCCCGTTTTTGTCGATAATAATTCTGCACCGCGATGGCCGTGCGTGTAAAAGATTTAAGATGTAAAAATTCCAAAACAACGCACGCCTTACAGTAGATCCCAACCAAACGGCCTTTTTTTTCTCGTTTTATTCGGCGAGCCCCCTGTTGGAAACACCAAAAGCAATCAACAATTTACACTTTGAAAAACGTTCCTTCCATATTTATCCAAACTGTTTAGAAAAGAAGGCTCTCTTTGTTCAAGTGATCGATATATCGAAGTTCAAGTGCAATCTTTTGTTTGTCTTTGATAGAAAATGGTTGGTTTTTCTTTTCATTTTGAAAAAGCGTTAAAATATCGTTAATAAAAACGTTTTTTTATTATTAATATAATCTATTTTTTAAATATTGATATAACCCTTTATTATGTAGGTGAAGTATTGTACTAACCAATAATAAGCAAAATAAAACCAACGTGTAATAATTAACTTTTTTTGGGCTTCATCATTACGATATTCTGCCAATTGAATGAATAATGTAGGACTGATATGAGACAGTTGGAAACCGACGGCAGACACCCAGACACCCACTAGGCACTCCACACCGAACGGGAAGCAGAGGTAGAGGCTACTCCTATTTCACTTTACTTGGCCTAAGTCTTATCTGAGGAATGTGCATGTGCTACCTCCATTCAAATCCTACTCCAGACGGGGGTAAATTCAACCCAGATTTCCCGACAGTGCGGAACCAGAGAGCTCCCCCCCAACAGTTACTCCAACAAAATTTTAAAGTCTACAAAAAGTATAAGTAAAGTATAATTGTATCTAAAAGTTATAAAGTATACATAAGCTTTTTAAATATATCTTGGAACGAGATGTTAATGGATTTTAAAAAATTATGCAGATCATAAACAATTAGATCGTTGGACGCTAAAAGTGTTTCTTACTGAGGTCTTGATGATATTGTCTGTATAAGTTATTCATAAGCTGTTCCCTTTACTGTTCAAATTCAATGCATGCTAGTATTATATGTCGAGGTGTCGATACGGAGTCACAAGTTGGGCAATTTGGCGTTGCTCTCCAACCTATTTTATGAAAATAACATCCCAAATACTGTGATTAGACTTCAATCTGAAAAAACAGAATGGAAGTCTTTACGACTTCTGCAATCTGCGAACCACGGTTTTTTATATGCAACGTTGGAAATAATGACCGATAGTATCGCCCTGCGATTGCGGAATCAAATTCATTTTGCCAAAGATAATTACACATTAAAAAAAAATTTTCCCATCTTCTTTAGGATTTTCAATATTACATCTGATAACAGAGCGCTCATCTTTAGCCATTTAGTCCACGATTTCATTTTGTCGAATACCAGAATGGCCATTGGCCCAACATAGCACAACGCTTTTACCAATAGTTTTGAGGTCGTATATCTTCTTATAAATATCGAATATGATATAATTACTACATTTAGAATTAATAGAAAAATTTCTAAAGTGTTCAACGATACTTTTACAATCTGTTAAAATGCAGAATTTTGTTTCATTCTTTGAGTAGATATAATTTAAAACTCTATCTATTGCTGTCAACTCTGCTGTGAAAATAGAAGTAGTGTTGGATAGGAAATATTGTTCGCTACATTTATATTTAGTATCATAAAAATCACAAGTTTTGCCTTATGAGACGGAACCATCGGCAAAAATTAGCAGATTATCTGGAAAAAATCCTGCCACATCTGCGCGAAATTCCATTTGTGTTACATGTAATATACTGGGAGTAGTTTTTAAGCATAAAAGTGTCTATTTCGGAGAGTATCAATTTTTTTCAAGTAACAGGAAGAGGCCTGCCCATTTGTAATGTTACGATTTGTAAAACATCATACCAATAGAAGGTTCTGATCCCCATATATTTGAAAAGAAGCTCGTTTGCATGTTGTGAAGTCTTTCATCCTTCAATACCATGTTATTTGAATAGAGATTCCATCATAATGTCTAAATAAAGCCCTAGAAATTTTACGCGGTACTTGACTGGAATTTTAAAATTATGTAATGCTTCTACATTTGCCAGATTTAGAATTAACTTAATAACATTGTATATGCTATATACACAGTAGCTGAAGAGTCTATAAATGAAAAAATTCTTGAAGAAATTTTGGGGAGAAGCGCTGGCATTCATGGGTAATGCATGAAGTTCATGACACCTTTCACTCCTCGTTCTTGGTGGTTCGTATGCTTTGCGAAAAAACACATAAAAAATATGTATTGAAAGCATCTTTTTAAAATAATTTTCTTTCTGAAGTGAGATAAAGTGGATTATAGACGCATAGGTCGTTGGTGCTTCGGCCCGGAGGACCAACAATTGTTTAAGCTTGTGCTATTCAATTTAAAATGAAGTAATAATAATTTCACTACATATTTATGTGAACTCGCCATGAAATAAAAGGGAAAATTTACTAGAGTTAGGAAGTAGAGAAGAAAGAGAAATAGAGGGACGAAGAGAAAGAAGAAAGAGATTGTAAAGAAAAAGAAAACGTTGAAGATAAAATCAAACAGATCGTTATAATCATGGAGGTGACACAATTTTCACATTCTGCAATCGATGCTATTTAAGCTTCAGATCAATTTTGTCTAAAACAACCAACTGTACTCGAGAGTACTGACTCGCTAGCAGCCAATGCATCCTCAGCGTCGTGATCTTAGCATTTTGCAAACAAATTTTAATCTCGAAGTGATCTGATGAAGTCAGTGAAAGTGTAATTGAAGTCGCTCGATCTTGTAGTTTTCACCGAGTGAGACGACGATTGGAAATGATCTGAATTCAAAACAGTCATTTTCAACTATTGTATTTCCAAGGGATCAAGCTGGAACTAACTTGTATGTTAGACTTGTTCGCAATGTCAAAGTTATAACGAAGAGAGTTAATGACTTCTGTTTTGTTCCCACCTTTGCTCGAAATACTCAGCCACCTTTTGACTCGGCTTTTTCCTTGTTCGCAACGAGCAACTAGTCTTCCTTTTTTGCATTTTTAAATCCCTGTTAATAAATTCAAAAGGCCGGAGCTCTGCCATGGCATAGGGTGTAGACGGCATAGTTAATAAAAAAAGGAGGATTTTTATAGGATATTTAAAAATTTACGATTTTTTCTCGTTCTAAGGCAAAAGAATATAATATAGGAGCGTTTTTATTTTATTTCATCCTTATTTATTTCACTGAAAAGTTGTTTGTTGACATTCCCTTTTTGTAACGGTTATATTAACGTTCAATTTGGATAAAATTCAAATGAGTTATGGATTTTTATGTGATTGGACATCAGCGAAAAAAATTAACTTCGCGAATCCATCCCAGAAAAGTATATTTTTATTTTCTACGAAAATTCAGATTTCACGTTGTTATAATAAAAACAAATTCGGATTGTTTTTATCGACAGCCAATTTTTTTAACCTACCTTCATTTGATTCTTTTTAACTTATTATGTTCTTGTTGTAGATAAAACAAAACATATCGATTTATACATAATAAGATGAACATATACGTATAAAAAAGGCAGAAACACTTATTTAAAAATTACTTAAAATGTTGTTTTTAAGCCTCCTAGAAAAAGTATAGAAGAAGTAAATTGGCAATATCGTTCGGTCTACTATTTTTTTAACTAATACCATCAACAAAAGTTTCATTAAAATCTGCGATCCCACGTTTTAACTAATACCATCAAAAAAAGTTTCATCAAAATCTGCGATCCCACGTCCCTTCCAATGTTAATATTGTAAAACAAAATAATTGGGGTTTAATTCGAGGAGGAAATGTTTGACGTACGTATTATTTTGAGAATTCTATATGAATGTCGAGTTCAAAACTTTGATGATGAACTGTGAATAAATCATTACTTTGACAAAACCTACGTCAGGTACAAACCGTGATTAATAATGATTTACAGGAGCCGACGTACGTCGGAGGCTTTTATCAGGGAAATTTACATCACCTAAAACATCAGAGCGGAATTAAATTTGTTTTCAGATTCCTTCGATACGTACTTGGCGAAGTTGGAAAGTGTTGACGAGTGCTTCCAACTTCCATCGTGAAATTAGCATTTACCAGAAGAAATTTATATAAACTTGTTTCGGTAGGGTTGGCCTGTTGGCGTAAAAATTTACTCTGTTTCGTCGAAAAATCTTTAGCCAGTGTGTTTTTCTTTTTAAATTACAAAGTATTTAATCGAAAACGCTGTCGCCTAATTTGTAATTTATTTACTTAGAGGGTGGATTATTTAAAATAATATTATATACTAGAAAGTTTCCTATAAAAATTCTGCCTATTATATTCTGTTCACGTTCCTAAAAAGATCATTATCAAACGGCGCCCAGGGTCATAAGCAGGGAGATGCTGACTCATTTTTGGCAGTTTCGCTTTGCCCAACACGAAAGATGTGCAGCAGCGTAGTCCCTGCCTTTACTCCACCAGATAATTTTAGTAATGAAAACTCAGCTGCTAAGTGCAAAGTTCTTAGTTAACAGGACCCAACAAGCTTAAAGTACAAAACACTTGGAAACACTTGCTTTCGTTAAGCCATTGTTGATCTATTTTAGCCTCTTAGCCGATCTTTAATAAGATTGTTCAAAAATGAGTTCATTATGAAATTTAGCTTACTTTTGAAATCCTCCTAGTTTTCAAGAAGAATTTTAAAAAGTCGCATTGATTAGGAATATCCCTTCGTCAGCTTTATAAACGGGACGGTGCAAGGTTTTATTATTATCGTTTCTGATAATATCTCGAATATATAATATAATATCGAAAGAAGCGTTGCGACATTGCTTTAATTCCGTTTGATCAAGACGTAAATTGATCTGGGTTCAACAGAAACTCTGTCTAATTGCTTGGACCTTAGCAAGCTTTGTTGTTATGGATCTTGTTTCACAACAGATTACCTTGTCTTATTAACAGTTTAAAAAGTTGATTTTTTGTATAATGATAATTTTTTAGACATTTATCTTATGATTCTTCACCAAAATCCAATTTAATTTGGAATTGGAAACCATTTTTTTTACATGAAACGTTCTTTTTTCGTTTAGAATTTTGAAAAATCGTGATTATTCCAGATATACTTTAGATATTTTAAGTTTCAATTTTTGGACATATTACGTGTTCTTCGAAACTAATCCCATAAGGATACTGGCATCGTAAAAATGCAGCCATTTTTTTGCCAGACTACTGCCTTCTAAAGTCACTGTTATTAAAAAGAGTGGATTTAGTTAAAAACCACTTTATCTGGTTCAATTTTTTTTGTCAGGCTGAGTGGTGTATTTGCAAACAGGGTGAGAACTGAGCGTGGTCGATTCTTATTTCCATCGACTTAGTGAAACGGGTAGCCTGGGCTTTACGATCCAATACTCAAAAACTTCCACTGCACAATTTTCTCCGACTGTTTGCACAACGTCCCTTCCATAAATATATTACAGTTGGAGAAATAAAATAAAACATTTTAATATATATTTTTTAAATTTTATCCGTGTTTTTCTTTTTGACAATATCTAAATGTTGTTGATAAAACCTGAAAGAAAGATTTTCTGCTTTCCAACGATTGGGCGATTGTGCTCAATTTAGAAGTTACGTTCTAGTTAGGAATTACTTATTTTTAACTGGATCACCGGACATTTGCCAAAAATGCAAATGCAGTCCAAAAATGAATTTTTTTATTACGATAAATATTCGTATTTACTGGTATTAAATGGTGATTAAAACGGATTTGATTTTTTTTCTATTTTTGAATAAACAAAGTTTCTTGGTCTAATTTAATGGAATCATCTTGTTATTGTTGTTTTTATACCTTTAGTCTCATTTTGTAAGATTTTGCTTATTTCCTTGGCTTCCTTATTAAAATCGGTGACCGCACGTCCCCCTCTCCTTGTCAATTGTAAAATACAATTAATATTTAAATAGTTTGGGTGAAAAATTAATGAGAAGTGGTAAATGTTTGACAAACTATTAGTGTATAAAAAAGAAAAAGTGGTGAAAACGGGTCGATCCTTTTTCTCCATCGACTTACTTGAACTAGCATACACATATACCAAAAATTCCACTAAGCAATTTTCTTCAGCTGTTGGCATAAACAACGATTCCGATAAAAATCCCAAAACAAATTAGAATTGAGGAAATAAAATATAACAAAACATTTTAGCAGATTTTATTTTTTAATTTCATCTTTATTTTTTTAACTTACAATGACAAAATATAAACTTTGTCGACAAAGCCTGAAAAAAAAAAAAAAAAAAAAAAAAAAACTATTCTGTTTTCCAACGATTTATGAATTTAGTGAAACATGCGCATCCAACCCAAAAATACTTCTTTTATTGAGGTAAAAATTCCTATTTACATCAGTTAAAAGATGCTTAAAACGAATCCGACTTGTTTTCACATAAACAAAGTATTTTGTCTCACTTAATTGAAATCGCGTTTTGGTTTTTATAACTTCTTATACCTTCAATCTCATCTAACAGAATTTTGGTTTAATTTTCTTCTCCTAGTTAAATGCATTTCTACGATGTTATTTATCGGTCGATATGTACATACATAATCTTGACGCACAAGGACAGAAAGGCGTCGGTGGCCCCAACGTTTAGGCGTTGACACGGCGCTCATCAGTGTAAGGTGAAGGTTCCGGGTTCGAATCCAGCGGCCGTGCATTCGAACCCGACATACTTACAAATGGGCTTTTTTTCAAAATCACCGGCACCCCGAGAGTTGATATGACCTCTGCTGTTGCGCACCCTCATTTTTTGACCTATTTTAATCAAATTTTTATTTATTTTGTTATTCAAAATAATCAATAATACTTGCAATTATCTTAAATGTCCAATATTGCATGGTGATGTAAAGGAATTTAAGAAAAATTGTCTCTCGACAAACCAACCCTATTACTCTTACTTTTCACCAAAATTTAGCCGGGATCCTTTAAAACGGCAGGTGGCGACCATTTCACGTTGGACCAGTTAGAAATCCGAACAACACAAAAAACGCGTTAGGCAACACAATGACGCACGACCTGGTTCAATTAGAGAGGAAAACAAAACCCGCACCAAACACCAGGAGAAATGTGTATGTGAACTCCCTGGGACAAAGCCAATACTGCCCGCAAACGACTAACCGTCTTTTTATTTTATTTTATTTGTTGTTATGGGAGGGGGTCAACCGTATAGACGTGATTACATTGGTTAAGAACTATCTGAGTTTTGGCGTATGTTTATTTATTTATGTTTTATCTGGGTTGTTATTTTCTCTACATACGTACATAATTGAAACTTCATTTCACAAGTTCCAGCGTTGATGTTTATTCAAGTTCAAACACCCATTAAATTGTTTTAACTCTAATCATAATTTAAATTATAACAAATTGAAAGCGAACCAGAACTAAGTCTATTTCACAATATCTTCCCTAATTAATATACGACAATCGGTTTTGTATATTAAACACACACACATACACACAAAAGCGCGCGCACTTTACTCTAAATCAAAGGGTCGTAGAAAAAATAAATTTTAAATGGTAACTTCCCACAATATAATTTTTTCAAAAACTTAAATTTGCGGGATCTTAACAATTAATTTCGTATCAATTTTGCTTTTTGAATTGAGCTTTTACAATATTTTCAATAGCGAAATTTTCCTTTATTTAAAAAACAACACCCACAGCACACATTAATGTTGCAGTCTATTGTCTTTTTTCCAAGTTGTTTACATTTATCTGTCAAATTGTCATAATTGCATTAGGTTGATATGTTGCTTCAGATTTGAAGTTACAGTAACATTGGAGGTAAAAGAAGTTTAGAAGCATAAACGTATTGTAGGGAATGTTAAAGGAACAACACATCGAAATATTTCATAGAGATAACTAGTTTGGTTTTCGACAAAGGCAAAATTTGCAGAAAACATAGTCCACAGCAACTTAACAACATAGATTATATGTGTATTAAAAGAAAACACTAAGATCAGCCAGTGTAAAACAACTTTACACCAAGTCAAGTTAAACTATCACAAAAAAATGTGCATCAAATTGCCACGCCTTGCTTATAATGTTTTGAACTTTAGACGTGGAAGATATTGCCAAAAAACCACTTTGTATCTACAGCCACGTAACAGTACTTTCTCAAATCATCAAAAAAGAGAGAGAGAGGGAACTAAACTATTATTTTTTTATGTGCACAAATTTAGGACAATACTGTCCTATCTTACAATAAGGGGGAGGAAAAGAGAGAGGGAAAGAGAGAGAGAGAGAGCGAGAGAGAGAGAGAGAGGGAGAGAGAGAGAGGGAGAGGTAGTTAGGCAAACAGAAAGGATAATGATGGAGGTAGAGATAGGTAGATAGGACGAGAGAAAGAAAATGGAAGATAATGTTAGTAGAGTAGGAATGATCGAGGGAAAATGAAATATATAAATGAAATTATGAATATATAAGATGATTACAAAGTCTAAGAAGGTAATAAGGATATTAAAGAGACATAAAACTACGCCGGTCCAAGCAGCTTCGTCGTTGCAGGACAGATACCGATAAACTTGAAAGTTAGACAAATAGCTTTTTATAAAAACAGATTAAGAGAATTACACATTGATAAACAAAAGCCTATTATCAGGATTCATACCAGGCTATAGATCAACCTAAACCACCGTATTGTAGGCTGCGTCCATCAAGAGCAATTGATGTCTTATGATACGAAATCGGATAACTTATTATATATTCTTTCTATGTAAGGTCTTGATTGTGATAACAAAGTCAGTGTCACGAGCGGGATTCGAACCCACGACCTTCGGCTAAATACGCCGCTACTCACCACTTGGACTATCGTGACTTCGATCCTCTCGGACACCAACTCTCCATCTCAACTTACAACTGTTCCAATTTTCCCTCTTTTTGCCATTTTCAAAAGTCGTGTAGTAAAGTAGGATTTTCGTTAAATTTATGACATGGAAAAAATAGGAATTCAAACAATTTACAATCATGGGATGCACAGAGAATATTTGTATCATTGCAGCTTAGCAAAAGGCGATAATTGCGAGTATAGGATGGAAGGCACTAAATTCTAGAGACATCTAATGTTTCAATGCCATGTATGTATGCCACTTATGTTAAAGTATTACAAATAGTTCTGTGACATTAACCTTTAATCAGAAATGAAAACGGGACGTATGAACGATCTCATTACAAGGCTACTATAATGCGGTAATTAAATACCAACAAACCACCGGCAGACGGTTTATTACCATGCCGTATACTGGAATATGTATTTTATTTTTCATATGAATTGTAAACGTACGTAAATGTTTTCTATTTTATTGATGTACTGTTAATCAAACATTTTCCACAATAAAAAACCCACACAACACCCATAATGTATGAATATGTACAATTAGATTGTCCATAATTCAAATAATCAATAAAACGCCAAGGATTATATAAAATTGTAATATCTTTGTTCTGTTTCAGATCGTATCATTAATTCTGGGTTGTGAAGCGAGTTTTACACTAGAAAGATTTCCTGTTTCATACACCATGGTAAATACACAAAAACCGTTTATTTTTATTTTTGTTGTTGTTGTACTTGTGCCTTATGTCAGTTTTTAAATATGGCCTAATTAGAAACAGCCAACGTGAATTTGGTTTAAACATTCAGAGTTAATTCTTGTGAACCCAGACAGGAAAGTCAGTTGAAACGAGCAAAACAAATAGGAATTACGTGTATTGCCCTGCGTTTCATCATCCAATTAAAACAAAAATATACGAGATCAGTAATAATCCTGTTGATTCTTTTATTCATAAATATATTTGATTACTATGATAATAAATGTACTCAATATGATTTGTCCTAAACCAATAATAGCTAGTAAAAAAAAAGTGTTTAGTCAATCGCAAAGGAATAGATTGGACTGGGACGTCTCGTACGGGAGAATTTAATAATGAAAACTTTCATTCTCAAGATTCCTTTGCCGATTCGGAAAAATCGGCCAACTTTATTTTATATTTAGAGGTAGACAAAAAAATGGAAGGGGGAAAGAGGTCAATTTTGTTTGTTTGTTGCGACTTCATCTTTCCGTTTATATTTAGTATATCCACCATGCCACAATTCCGACGTCGTAGCGCTTATATAAAATCTCAAAAGGAAAAATTGACAAATTTGTGTGATTAAAGAGCCTTTGAAAGCGTCAGATAAATAGGAAAAAATTTTTATTAAAAAGGAAATATGTAAAACTCTTTAGTTTAAGATTTCACGAGGCGATCCAAACTTTTAACAATATTTTTTTTTATTATGTTTTACGCATTAGTTATATATGAAAAATTGTAGGCTTATAAAAAAGATTATATTTGCAGTAAAGGTTAAGTTAAAAATTTTCGCGTAACCCAGTAGGATAGAGGTAATTACTTTGTTAATTACAAACCATGGCATTGCTTTATGCTTACACACGCCCCTTCTCACATTTAAGCTTACTGAATTGAATAGATGCCACCCATACACACGCAGAGAAAGAGAAAGAGAGAGAGAGAAAGAGAGAGAGAGTAAGAGAGAGAGTAAGAGAGAGAATGAGAGAGAGAGAGAGTGAGAGAGAGTGAGAAGGAGAGGGAGGGATTATGATGATGATAATGAGCGCTTTATTTATCTGTCGCTCAAGATTTGGTCTCAAGGACCATTCTTACATCTAATGTGAAATACAACGGTTACTAAGTTTACTCTACTTCTAATTTATTAAACATTAATTTCTTGGAGTAACCTGATTTTTTGTGGTCAGTATGTTACATCTATTCGTTTTACATTGAACAACATATGTATTTAGTTCAAATTGCCTATTGAAATAAATATTCTAGTTTACAGAATAATTGAGTATTTAAAAATTAAATTACTATTATAGTAAGTGTACAAAAATAATTTTTCGATACAATTCAGTGCAAGCCATGAATTATAAATTGTCAATATAAATCTAGAAATAAAACTTCTAATCACTAAATAATAATATAAAAAATAAAAACAAAACTAAAACAACAAAAGAAGTTTCATTTAAGACAGCGAATTTTTTGCATCAATCGTAAGTTGATGCAATTTTTAAGACTATTCTGGAAATCTGTGATATTTTTACACTGTTTTATGTGAATAGGGAAAAAGTTACTGCACCTTGTAATGAGAATGGCCTATTAAAAATTTTGGTTTTGTGCTTAACGACTCGCAAGACCGTTTGCAAACCTAGTATCTCTATCATGAATCAGAGAGAGAGAGTGAAAGGGGCGAGAGAGAGAGGGAGGGAGAGTGATAAAGAAAGGAGAGAAAGAGAAAGGGAGGGAGAGAGAGAGAGAGAGAGAGAGAGAGAGAGAGAGTGAGTGAGAGAGAGAATTGTGTGAGGTTAATCTTTTCAAATAAATCTTTACATCTTTGTTTGTCCGCGGGTTTTCTAAATTTTGGTAGTAATGGGTGTTTTCTCTGGTTTTGGAAAGTTTGGATGCATTCACTGACACTTTAGGATGTGACCTTTATATATGCTAATGCCATTAGGCTGCCAAACCTTACAAGGATTTTTTTGTCAGTGCAACCTTTGTGAAAATTTTGTACGGCACAAGTATTGATAGCATATATCAGCGTGCAAGACTCAGCTGTGTACTTCCGTTCTTTGGTTTCTCAGGTTTTGAGAATATTTTTCAAAATTCAAGTCCTTTACATTGGCAATATTTCTATGTCTATATATTCTTAGTAAAAAGTAAATTAACAGTTAAATAAAATTAAAGTGAATGGAATGAGATACGATATTTTCGATGATATCAACATCGACTTGGTTTGTCCGCGGGTTTTCTAAAATTTGGTTGGAAATATTCTACATTTTGGGCTTACTCCAGCTTAGGAAAAGTTGGGAATTTGATAGTTCATGGTTAAAGCCTCTCTCTACATATTTTAAAATGGTTGTTAATTTGGTTTTATTGGTGCCAATCGTAATTCATAGTCAATCTCTTCCATCAAACAAAACTTATGATCCCTTGTTTCTTATTTTGACCTGACAACAAGCGGAAATTGGGTCATCTCTGTCGGACAACGAGTGTGCGAAAATATCGATAAATGGAAAACAACACTTTACCTTGCTATTACAAGAGTGAAACGGCCTAGATAATTTTCGATTAAAACTTTAAATTAGTCGTCGCTGGTATGTATGGTCCTCTCGGACAAAAATCGACTCCATTAGTTAACCACCTTACGCCACTCACAATGTTTACACGATTAATGAGATAATCTTGTAAGGAATGGATCGTTATCTCGTCCCTTTTAAATCGGCCGGTAAAAGAAATGCGGCCTCTTAAAATTTCCCTCGTTAAACGAGTTATACCAAAGTTTCATTGCTCAAAGTACACTTAGGGTACACCATTTCACATGGCATCGTCATCATAACATCAAGGCATAAAAAATATTCTTTCCTTTTTACCCTCTATAATAAAATTAATAAAATAGATGCATAAAATAATTTTTAATTAATCTAAACGAAGGGATATAAAGCAGGTCCAACAATAAAAATTAATTAAACTACCTTTCTACCTTTACTTACACGTAGATGTGTATGTAACCCGGATTGTTAAGTTGTGTTATAATATTTTTTTTTGTTGAAGAAAGAACCTGATCATAGCTTTATGGGGTTTGTTGCTCAGCTAGTGGACCAACACATGTTTGTTTGGATGATAACTTTACAAGTTTACGTTTTCACATATAGGCGTTTCAGTTTCACATCATTATCAGTGAGAAATTCAATGGTGATCAGGGTCGATGATCACTAAATGTGATCATACATAGGTAGGAAAGAGGATGTTGTTCATAACTGAAGTGCTAAAATTACTTCTTGTTGATGAATCTCAAGGAAATAAGCCTTAAGGTATTTCCCCCTTGTTAATTACTGCTTGAGCATAATTAGTAAAAAATAAGAGGAGTTTAGAAATGTTGTTATGTTCAAGAGAGGTTTAGATAAAAAGTGTACATTTACTCTTCAAGTTAATTGTATTTTTCACCTTCCCGCTTGTTTGCTTGGACTTGAAGAACCGCCTAGGCTTAAATGAATATGAAGGGGGTTAAAAAATCCCCAGAATCTTCGGCACGCACGACTCATGCCAGTCGAATTCCCCAGGCTTTCAGACCCAAGAAAACATTTGTCGGCTTCTGCCTTGCATTCTCGAATAACTGTTTACAAAAATTCCTTCCCCCATTATCTGATCATTTACAGAGAAAATTCGAACCCTGGTAATTCGTGTTTAAAATATTTCCAAAAGGACAATCCACGTTTCTATGCTAAATTAGTTACACAATTATAATCACCAAAACAGGGAGAGAGAGAGAATGAGAAGAGAGACTAGTTTTGGTATTGCGCCAAAGGTCTTAACTCGTCAAATATTAGGCGGCACCGTTTCCAGCTTGGAACAATAGTCCACATTTTACCACGGCTAAGGGAGCCATGAAAATGATAGTCATTAATAACAGGCCGGTAGGGGCCGTAAATCACCGATATTACCGAAAGTCGGCCATCCCTATGATGTATTTATTAATTTGTGCTTTTGTGATCTCTGTGGATATTTTATCCGAAAACCTTCGAGGTAAACATCTGGCACCGCCTCGCGTTAGAGATTGCTACATAACAATAATACATCGATTCATATAATACAAAAAATTTGTATTATTAATTCCTTAATTCAATGAATAACATTTTTACATTTATATCATCATGATATGCTTACAACACTACAAGAAATCCCATGTCTCACAATGAATATAACTCCCAAAATAAGACATTAGAATTATATACTGGAAGAAAGAACATTAACAAGAATACTAAAACAGACGGGCCTAGCTGTGTAAAGATTTAAAAAGTTCCAGTGTATTTGTCAAATTATGTCAAGATATATATATCGACATAATTTGACAAATTGAATATATATATATATATATATAGGGAGAGAGAGAGAGAGAGAGAGAGAGAGAGAGAGAGAGAGAGAGAGCGAGAGAGTTTCAGGTAGGGTGAGGGATAGAGAGTGAGAGGAGTAGTTAATGTAAAATTATATAATAAAAAGAGAATAATAAAAGTAATAAATAAAATGATAAAAGCATATGATGTTATGTTAACTACGTACATATTAAATAAGGTAAATGTTATTTTGTACTATTATATTCAACTTATTTACTTAATAAGTATTCTTTAAGTTTTACTATGAACGATTTTATACTTTTTTTTTTTGAGGGAGAGAGAGAGAGAGAGAGAGAGAGAGAGAGAGAGAGANACACATACAATTAATATGTATATATGTACATATACATATTATATATATATATAGGGAGATAGATAGATGGAGAAAGAGAAAGAGTGAATGAGATGAGTGGTAGATAGATGTACAGACAAAATTACACTCTGGCAGGAGTGCTTTCATTTTTCAATGTGCCCTCTGATTACATGCGATTTGATTACATTTTTTATTTTTAGTTACAACTTTTTAGTAAGTTTTTAAAACGTACAATTATTTTTTAGTCTAAAATTAATGGAGTTTGT